ACTTACTTGATGATGAAAGCGGAAGTGGGCAGCGAGAGAGAGAATCTGCATCTTGGTGTCTTTTGACAGAGTTATAGATGACGTCAAAATCGTACTCTTGTAGGCGGAGAACCCAACGACCGAGGCGACCAGACAAGTTTCTCAGTGTCGAGAGCCAGCACAAGGCGTGGTGGTCTGTAATAACCGTGAAGTGGCGTCCGTAAAGATACGGTCGAAATTTTTGTATGGCCCAAACGACAGCAAGGCACTCCTGCTGAGTTATGGAGTAGTTCTGTTCAGCAGCCGTAAAAGCACGACTACCATAAGCTATAACTCTTTCCCGTGAAGTGGCATCCCGCTGTAGAAGAACTGCACCAATGCCATGGCCGCTCGCATCGGTGTGCAGACATGTAGGTGCGTTCTCGTCGAAATGGCACAGAACATGGTCGGACGTTAAAGCATTCTTGAGGGCTTGAAAGGCACGCTTGCTGTCATCGTTCCAAGCGAAAGTTGATGCGGATGTTAGCAGCTAGTGCAGTGGCAACGCGATGGCAGCAACATGACTAATGAACCGGCGGAAGTGAGATGCTAGGCCCAGGAAACTTCATAGGTGTTTCTGATTTTCTGGCCGAGGGAAGCGTATCACGGCAGCAAGCTTGTCAGGATCCGGACGAATGCCATCTTTGCTGACAAGGTGGCCCAACACCTTGATGTTCTTGTTGGCGAAATGTCATTTTTTTGTGTTAAGCTGAAGTCCTGCACTAGAAATACACGTCAAAACTTCGTCCAAACGATCAAGGTGCTGAGGAAAGGAAGAGGAAAAAATGACGATGTCATCTAGATAACAGAGACATGTTTTTCATTTTAGGCTGCGTAGAACTGTGTCCATCATGTGTTCAAACATGGCAGGAGCGTTACATAAACCGAATGGCATGACGTTGAATTCGTACAGCCCGCCTGGTGTTGCAAAAGCTGTTTTTTCTTTGTCTGCTTCGTGCATAAGTATTTGCCAATAACCAGACCGTAAATCGAGGCTGGAGAAAAATTCAGCGCCTTGCAGAGAGTCAAGTGCGTCATCGACTCCTGGCATTGGGTAGACGTCTTTGCGCGTGATCTTATTAAGTGCTCGATAATCGACGCAGAATCGTACCGAAGCATCCTTCTTTCGGACTAGCACTACAGGTGATGACCACGAGCTGGACGAAGGCCGGATAACATCTCGTTTGAGCATATCAGCAACGTTGTCCTCGATGGTTTTCCGCTCCGCGGATGACACTTGATATGGGCGGTGGCGTACGATTATGTTGCCTTCCGTTTCAATTCGATGCGCGGCGACAGAAGTGCGATCCAGAAGCTTGGAAGATACATAAAAAGGCGCTGTGTTTTTGAAGCATACCCAAAAGTTCTTGCTTTTGAGCTGACGTGAGATCGGGATTTATTGTGGCTGTTAAGGCAGCCGTCGTAGCATTGTCATCAGTACTCGTAGAGAAAAATGGCGAGTCTGCGTGAAGAGGCACCAGAGAAAGTGGTTCGGTATCTGTGAAGCAAACCACACTGGTGCCCTGGGGCAGTGCAACAGGCAGTAAAGTGGGGTTAACTACCGTAACTAATGCTCTGCCATCAGGAAAACGCACTAGACTAGGAGAAATGGTAAGTCCATCAGAGATGTAGCGTCCACACGGTGCTAGGAACACATCACCAGTACCGGTCTTATCTTATGTCAGGGTCAGAATATGCTCATTACCTGGAGGAATAAAACAGTCATCAGCGGTGACAAAACGCTGGCTATGGGCATAGTTATCAGACTAAAGCGCAGTATCTAGCATGCGAATGACCCTCTGACGGCAAGATATCACGGCTGAAGCTGAGGAGAGAAAGTCGCATCCTAAAATGAGCGCATTGGTACAGGATGAGAGAACGATGAACTGTATATGGTGAAGGATGCCCTCAATAAAAACTCGTGCTGTGCAAATTCTAGAAGGATGAACAAAAACCGCATTAGCACAGCGAAGGGGAGGGCCATCATACGGTGTCTTCACTTTGTGCAAACGGGAACACAAGTACACACTAATAACTGAGAGCGACGCACCTGTGTCCACCAAGGCTTCAGTCCATATACCCTCAACACACACTGAAAGTACATTTGAGGGGCCTTCCGGAGGAGTTCGATGCAGTCCGCAAAATTCAGCTTTCCCTCCTGAAGCTGCCATGTTTATTTTTCCGGGTGATGATCAGACGCCGTGGTAGCCCGACGAAGTGGTGACGGGGAGTGACGGCGCCAGGAGCGGAAGGTACTGGCTGAATCGAAGTGCTGTAGAGAGGGTGAGCGGCGTTGGTACAGTTGGTATGGGTGGCGATGTTGTGAAGCAGGGGCAAACTCCTCCCTCTCGAAGTCACCATAGCCACGCCTTTCGTTTTGTTGACGTCGATGACAAAACCGTGAGATGTGGCTGCGTATTCCGCAATAATAGCAAATTGGTCTAGATGGATGCCAGACTTGAAAAGAAGTAGGCGTTGCTCTTGGGGCGAGGACATTCAGTGAAAGCTGCATAGTTGAGCCATACTGTGGCGATTGCTGAGGAGGTGACGCTGCAACCACCTGAGCGTACGTTGGTTTTGGAGTGGTATTCGAGCTTGGAACGTGCTCACACGTCATGGACGCTAGTTCCTCCCTCACAATGTTGCGGAGGCTGCCTACAGAAGGCGCCATGCGGAGCTCACAAGATGACGAGGTGGCCTGGAGCTGCAGCTCCTCGCGGATCATAGACCGTATCAGCGCACGGAGCTCACCGTTATGCAATGCGTTGGCCTGATATCTGTTGTTTCAGGTTCTAAACGTATCAGTTGAAGGTCATCGAGTCGCTGACACGTACTGATGATATCGGCGACCGTGGTCGGGGTCTTTGCCGCCAGAGCGTTAAATGCGACGGCGCCTCTTCCCTTGAGCAAGTGGCGAACGCGGTCATGCTCCGCCTTCGAGCTGTCGACGCGACGGCATAGGGCGAGGACATCTTCAATGTACGAGGTATAGGACTCGTCGGAGTGCTGGACACGTTCAGCAACCTTCCGTTTGGCGATGTCTGCACGTACAGAAGGGTTGGCAAATATCTGACGGAGCTGCTGCTTAAAGGTAGGCCTGTCTGGGAAATCCAGCTGATGGTTGAGAAACCATGTTTTAGCGACACCCGTCAGATAGAACGGTACGCGGGACAGCTTGACAGAATCATGCCAATAGTTAAGCGCACTCACACGGTCGTACTCATCCAACCAGTCTTCAACGTGTTTCATTTTATTTTTTCATATATTTACTAAGCGAAGGAATAGACGCAACGCTTGTTCGGAGGCCGGATGTTCTATTTCGCTTTGGTCTTTCTCATCTTCGCAGTCGCTAAGCGCGTGCCCGATCTGCAAAACCAGCAAGGTAATGTTGATCAATTATACTCCCTCGAACATGTGCGAAGTCAACCATTACTGTTCAAATGAATAGACGCTACTTTATTGGCCTGACGGTTTATATTTGTTTGAGCGAGCTAGTAAATTTCACAGAGAATTAATAACTGGGTTTGTAGAGCAGGTTCGCACGCGGCGCTCATTTCCTGTTCTAAACACAGTGCCGATCTTATTAACGAATAAAGTGCGCGTCGCTATATTTCTTTCTGAGTTCATCTCACACACAATGTGCCTAAACAGCGCAGGAAAAAATGAGAAGGAAACGCGTTACAAAAAAAAATTGATTACCAACTTCGGCCGTAGAGTATGTGATAGGCGACTGGATTCGTTTACGTGCCCAACAAAAACGGTGGAAAAAGCCTACGGGATTTTTCCACAGGAAACGCAGTACGGTTGGAATATTTCCTAATACTGTACTATTGAGACATCAAAACCTAAGAGTTACGGTCGCATCAGTATGAGAGTGGCATCTCCCCAATCGTACTGGAGGTGCCAGGCGTGATGACTTCATGTATTTGGTGAGGGATTTCGCTCAGCTGCCAGCTCGAGAACGGATCACGTGCTGCGTGGCACCAGAAAGCAGACAAAGAGTCTGTTGCACTCGCCGTGATGACTACTCGAGGTGCCGAGTAACACTCCAACGTTTAAATACATCTTTTCCCCACACAGATGACGGGGTGCATGACTGCCACTGTAGCTAAGTGGGTCGATAATAGCTAATGGCACCATTGGGCGCAGGTTGGGTCTCTGCAGGCGGCAAGTCATCTCCTCTTTCATTTTACTTTCTTCACTTTAACAGATATATTACCTAAAATACCATTTCTTATCATTGAAGGAAAGAAGTCTACATTTATTGGCTAGTTTTCTTTTGTTAAACACAATAATATTAAGATCTATCATCTGTGCTAGCACCGGGCGTTTTATTAGAAAGTCACAGGTTCGGTCCCTGTCAGCGGCAAGATATCGTTTCGTTCACTTTTTTTCGCTCCATCAACATTCCAATTACTTCTAATAACAGGTCCCATACTTACCTTGGCATGATTGTTTGTTTGATTTAATTTATTATTTATACTTGCCTTGTGAATTGCCTGGCTCAGCGACACAAGTGTACACATTGCGAAAAAGTTATTGAAAACTAGTGTCGCTGAGCCAGCAGATAAACGGATCAATTTGGGAATGTTTGATAGGTGGTGTAGGCGACATCACGAAGAATGTAGCATTTTTAACAATATTTTCACTTCGTTCACTAATTATGACAAATTATTAGTACGAGATGGTTTCCGAAGAAAAAAATGCAGAACATTCCCCACTTTGAAGCTCTTTAGCGCTATGGGCAATGAAATAAAAGGTGATCACAGATTGACTTGACATACAGGTGTTTTGAGTACCTGCTAAACATTCCAGGTCGAAGGCAAACTTGTAAGGCACTATCACTGAGAACAAAGGGATTGCTTAGCTGTCACATGGCCGTAAAAATTTATACTTTTGGTTATTAGCTGTGACTTAGAGAGCAGGTTCTTTATCTGTGACTTTCTTCTTTCGTTGAGACCAAATTGTTGTTGTTGTTGCAGCCAGCCTTAGACACCGGGTGGTGTCCCCTTCAGGCGAGCTGCTGGTTCGCAACGTCAGCTCGGCTGACGACGGCGTCTCGTATCGCTGCCAGACCAGGCACAAGCTCACCGGCAGCGTCAAAGAAAGTGACACTTCGGGACGCATCATAGTCAACCGTAAGTGCTCCACGAGCAGGAGGTTCATTTTTAGATACTTTTAACGTACGGCTAAAGACACGAGATTGTCCAGGTGCTCAGTGAAAACAGAAATTTTGCACAGATCGAGCTACCACATGATTCCGCTGTGATGGATCGGTGGCTAGGATGCTCGGCTGCTCATCCGATGGTTACGGGTTCTATGTAAGCCTTGGTGGTCACATTTCAATAAAGGCGTATTGGTAGAGGCCCGTATATTCTGTGGTCCGTCACCCTTCATAATGTCGGGAACGCAGCGTCTCACGTAAGTCATACCAGTGTTTTGGAACAAAAAACCGAAAAGGAATGATAAAACAAGCAGGGGAAAAAAGCGCTTGTCGACGCCTTCGATATCAGAACACCAGCACTGGGCACATGTGTAAGAGCCCTCTCCATAGCGCTGAGTGAAATCGGAATTGAGCTGATAAAGAGAACTGTGGGCGTCGGCAGCTTGAATGATTTGCGTGCGCGTTCAGGGTCTGTATGTTAAGTGATCGGGACATTGACGAAGGCAGCAGTCGGCGTGTCCTTGTTGGAACTGTTTATCTGGCTGAATGTGCGGCTAGGAAATGTTAGCAAACCGAAATGTGCAATGATTGTCAAAGAGCTTCGGCCGTCAAGAAAAATGATCGTCGCTGGGTCTCGCCGTCATTTATAAATCACGCATTGAACTTTTCAGCTGTTAGCCTCCGAAGCCGCGCCCCGCCGCCGTCGTCTAGTGGCTAGTGTACTCGGCTGCTGACCCGCAAGTCATAGAATCGAATCTCGGCTGCGGCGACTGCATTTTCGATATCAGGAGAAAATTCTGTAGGCCCGTGTGCTCAGCTTTTGGTGCACGTTAAAGAACCTCAGGTGGTCTAAATTTACGGAGCCCTCCCCTGCGGCGTCTCCCATAGTCATACGGTGGTATTGTAACGTTAAACCCCACATATCAATCAATTAATCCTCCGAAGCCTTGTCACTGGTAGTAGCGAAAGGCCTTCTTGACTGTTCCGTCATCAACACCAGCTAGTACAGTCCTGAAGTTTCTGCAACACTGAGAGGTGATCTGCACCAAGCATTGCTTACAGCTTTTATGGGTTTAGAGAGATGACATCAAAACATCGGCGTGGCATTGTGATGTTCATCTACGCAATAAACAGTTGTTAGCGTTGATCTGTTTTGTGCCTCTTTCGGCGCTGTTTGTGGTGTTTTTTTTAAAGTTCGTGCAAGGAACTTTCATCATGTTTAACCAAATAGCTTCTTGTCAGTTTTTCTTGTTCAATAAATAGAAAGATATGCTTGTTTCGGCTGCAATTTATCAACAGGACATTGGAACAAAGTCTTACAAATATAGAACATCAGAAATAATATTCAATAAAAATTGTTTGGAAAAGCTTCTGGCTTAACGTTAACTGTTTCAGTGTTTTCTTTAATGATTTCCCAGAGCACATTGTTTGTGTAGTATAGGTTCAGTTTAGTCACAAAGCTGCTAAAGAGTGCTGTGCAGTTGTTGTTTACGTATGTAAACTGTGCCATGATTTCAAAAATTTAGCCCGCTTAGCGATGTTGAATTTTGGTGCATATTTGCACGGGCTTTGCACAAAAAAAAGTCGAGAAGAAGGGGGTCACCTGAAATATTATCAACTCCTCCAAAGCTGGCGTTACTCTAAGAGTACTGGATTGTGTTCGTCGGGATGCTTTGCTCGCATGCCACCAGCTCGAAGTCAAAGGCAGTTTAGAAAGAGAGGGGATGTGTAGAAACGAAGGTAACGAAACATTGAAAGAGGCCTATTTATACAGAGAGATATGGGGGTTCGGTGTTGCATAGTAAATGGTTAGGATAAAATCAATGAATCATCAAAAAACAAAAAAAAAATACTTTACTGACAACTGCGCTACTGCGCAATAGATATTCCTAGCGCAGCTTCGTGACGGGATAAAGCAAACCGTGTCCAATGTCCCCGCTTTGCGCTAGGGAGCAGCTATTCCTAAATCATTATTTTTGTGAAGTACGACGCGACTCACTACCCATTATTCGCCTTTATGCGGATGAGTGAGGTATCCGCTACACATCTGCAAAATATTACGTGATTTTTTTGTTATTTCACCCTTCTGTCCCTCTGTACTTCAAAAGCTGACGCAATTTTTTGCTGACATGACGACTGCTCATTCTTCAATTGGGTTTCCAGCAAGATTATTATTATATATAAATGACATTACCGGAAATGTACAATCACATATTAGGCTATCTGCAGATGACTGCATTTTATACCGTCATATTACCTCTAAAACTGACTGCTCCGTAATTCAAAACGACCTATGTGCAGTATACGCGTGGTGCCAGCGATGGAAAATGAAACTGAATCTTAAAAAACTGCATGCATGACGTTTTCCAGAAAAAAAACAGGAGAATTTGAATACACAATAAACAGCTCTCCAGCAAAAATGGTGCGCGAATACAGATACCTGTGTTTTTTTTTGCCCCTCTTTATCATGAAGTCGGCATGTGGATTACACTGTAAATAAAGCTTGTCATAGCTTAGGATTCTTAAAAAGAAACACACGTGCTTTTCCACAGCAAACTCGGGAGGTACTATACAAAGCATACGTGAGATCAGTACTGGAGTATGCATGTTGTGTGTGGGACCCTGCAACATTATCAAATAAAGAAAGATTAGAAAAAGTTCAGTCCACGGTGGTGAGATATGTGTTTAATGCACCTATGTACGACAGAAAATTCGGTGCGACGGAAGCTCAGCTGAAGTTAAAATAGAAGTCTCTACTGCACCGAATGGCATCATTTCGACTGAACAATTGCACAACGTATTTTGTTCTCACACTCGAATTCCCCTTAACGTATACATAAGCCGGCCTCCCTACATTTCAGCCTGCAATGATCATGAATATAAGATAAGAGAATATAAATGCACTACATCGTCCTTCAGCAACTCTTATTTTTTCGAGAACTATAAGCCAGTGGAATTGACTTCCTCCCACAATTTTAGAAATTTCTTCAAAGTTTGCATTCTTTTCTGCAACAAAAATGATTGAATCTTTCCACCACTAAGCCCTATAGACTACGTGTGTGTGCCTGGTAGTCACGATGATCTGTACGCTATCTTGGTTGTAAGCTAGGTTGTTTTGTTTTGGTGTTATTTTGCCCTTGGTCTAGCCAAATGCTGAACTTTGTGTTAATTATCATGGGATTTTCATCAATTTTTGTGTTTTTTTTCTGTATTACATATGACTTTTCTGACACAGCTGTGCTCAGCGCAGCTGTGTATGTTTTGTGTCTTGCAAATACATTTATGTTCTCTTTCTCTTTTTTTCTACACAAACCTATGTAAACCTGCAAAATTTTATGTTCTTTTCCTGTAGTCACCCCCACCCCCCCAACTCTAATGCCTGTATGGGCGCTGTTGGCATTAAAGAAATAAATAAATAAACATCCTGGTTTTGTGGGATACTGGAGTACCACGCAGAGAGCTGAAATCCTATTCAGTTCGGGAAATCTTTTTTTTACTTTTTCATGTTTACGCCATCGGCAACGAAGCTCAACGCAGGGACGGGTGCGTCGAAAAGGAAAATGGCGAGAAGTTGTGACAAGCTCCAACCCTTGCGTCTCTTGATGTATCCAAAACTATCCGGTTACATATCATGGCCCACCACAATCACTGCCATGTTTCGGAATGTCACACAATATTCGCGCCACAAATGCTATATTATTCAAACTACGGTAAACATTCGAAGAAGTTCCAATAAATCCATGTGTGGCTTCCCCGATATACAATTCCAACAGCGAAAGCCACATGGAACTTTGTTCAAGTCCGAAAAAAAAGTGAAGTCCACCGCAGAGAAAAATGCCAAAACGACGCTCCCACGTTCTTCTCACGACGGTTTAGCATTGGTTTCCGGCTTTTCAGGGTAAATGGGTATTTGAATGCAAAAACTAATGATGTAAAAAACACACATGAGAAGCCATAGCTCTGCGAATGAGGAAATGGCGTGGAAGGTCTGAACTTCATAATTTATTAGACAAAACTCACCCTTCCTCTCTTCCAGATAATTTGGAGTGGGAGAGAGGTGGGGGGCTCGAGCGTTTACCTATGGCCTAAGTCTTCCTGTCCTGTTGAAGGGGAGCGTGAAAGTTAAATATACAATAGATTTAAGTCAAAATACCTGCCTATCGTGGAGCTTCTCGTCCTCTTTGCTCAAAATCAGTGCAGTGAATAGTTTCCTTATATTTAGAAGAATCTATTCAAGCTAACTCTCACCCGTTTGCAGTGTCGACAGGACCTTTTCAACCAAGACATATCTTTACACGATCAGCTTTGTCCGTCGACGAAGGAAGCACTGCCGAGCTGGTTTGTGTCGCACATGGCTACAGCGTTCCGGAGTACAGGTGAGTGATTTCTTTTTATTTTTTTTACTACTTACCCCAACAATAGAGCCCTCGGGCGCTGAAGGTATTTTTTTCAATAAATGAATAAATACTGCACGGCCTACTCGGGTGCGAGGAGTTGTGGGAACATCGTTACACATAAACGATATAAATAGTAATTATATCTGTCACCAACGTAGGTAGCATTATTGCAATCAACAAAAAAGTGATTCCCCATGCCGAACATACAGAAAGCTAACTGTGACAAAACATGCACACGCAGCACTCTAATACATAAAGTAAGTTGCATACTATGCATCAAACGAAACTCACACGCAAGAGTCATCTCTTTTCATTCCTACGCAGTTTAAACACACTTTTACATGACAAAGGAAACGTTATTTAAAAAAAAATGGAGGAACAGTTATATCTTATTGGCGTCAACTTTTAATTCTGTTCATTTATTCCTCTGACATAGCTTGTGACAAAAGACAACGTTAATGTATGTTAAAATTACCAAATGGCTGGTGAACTTTTCTGTTGTGGTTTGTACGACCAGACCGCACAAGGGGCTCAGTTTAGTAGTTAGAAAGCGGTATTTTGTAGTGATCTTGGTACAGCCTATATGAAAGCTTGATTTGAAGTTCAGTTCTGCGATTAGATAGCTGTTTTTTTTATTCTTTAAATTCCAATTTCGGTCTGACGAAAGCATTGTAGAAAGTTAATTTTACGGTCGATTGCGTACAACACACTTTTTTTTTTCAAATATGCCTGCTTTTTTCCAGTGCGTTGGGGAATCATTTTCTATATATGATTACCAACCTAAATACTTTGAGTGTTACACGTGAGTACTTCAATATTAGGTTTTTTTTCATGTAACTATTAGGAGAGCAGAGCCGATTAGGGAACAAACGAGAGTTAAGGATATAGTTGAAATCAAGAAGAGGAAATGGACATGGGCCAGACATGTAGCACGTAGACAGGATAACCGCTGGTCATTACGGGTAACTAACTGGATTCTCAGAGAAGGCAAGAGGGTTAGGGGGAGACAGAAGGTTAGGTGGGCAGATGAGATTAAGAAGTTTGCCGGTATAAATTGGCAGCAGCAAGCACAGGACTGCGTTGACTGGCGGAACATAGGAGAGGCCTTTGTCCTGCAGGGGCCGTAGTCAGGCTGTTGTTTTTGATGATAAAGATGATGATGAATTGTACTTGCGCCGAACCCTTTCGCAGCACTCGTATGTTTCATAAGTATCTCACTTAGCACAACATCTATCTATCTATCTATCTATCTATCTATCTATCTATCTATCTATCTATCTATCTATCTATCTATCTATCTATCTATCTATCTATCTATCTATCTATCTATCTATCTATCTATCTATCTATTTATCTATCTATCTATCTATCTATCTATCTATCTATCTATCTATCTATCTATCTATCTATCTATTTATCTATCTATCTATCTATTTATCTATCTATCTATCTATCTATCTATCTATCTATCTATCTATCTATCTATCTATCTATCTATCTATCTATCTATCTATCTATCTATCTATCTATCTATCTATCTATCTATCTATCTATCTATCTATCTATCTATCTATCTATCTATCTATCTATCTATCTATCTATCTATCTAGGCTTCGGCTTCTCCTGCTGATTCTGCATCTGTTCATGTCAGAGAAGAGTGAATTAAGCTCCATGTCAGCCAGAGCTAGTAGGGCACACGTCCGCACTGTCGCCAGTCTGCTTGCATATTCACTATGGAGATTGTTTCAGTGCTGTAGAATTGGTCGAACAATTGGAAGCCTTATGTCCCGGCTTGCTGTAATGAAAGCAGAGCGCTTTTTCTTGCTTCTTGTCGTTTCAGCGGCTTTATAACTGCCAGGCAGATTCCTCTTATCTTCTGTTTCTTCTTTGCCTTCAGCAAGATTACGAATGTCTTGCGCTTCCAAGTACTGGTTGGCTGTCGTCGATAGTGTGTAGAGGTTGTACCACGCTCTTTCCTTGAGAAAGATCACCAGCTCTTATTCACAGCAACGTAGAAGCTGCTCCGACACGAGCTTGTTTCGCCGTGCTTCATACGTCTGCGGTGTCTTAGCTAGCTTTTGCCGATATTCAAAGTAGCCAAGAAAAATACCGGCAAACTGTCGTGCAGTTTCAGTGTTTTCAGGCTTGGCATCCCGAAACTTTACACGGTAACTTTCCTCTATGTAGCGGAACCACGGAAGTATTGCCTGCTTTAGCTTAGTGTAGTCGGTAGCGTCTTCCACGGACAACCAGCCTACTGCTTTGAGTGCTTCGCCTGTCAAGCAGAGACTATATGACAAGGCCCATTTGTCCCTTGGCGAACCTTGGCTGGGAGCTTCACTCTCAAACCTTTCAATGTAAGCGTCTTGCTCATTCCTATCTTTGATAAACGGAGGAATCATGTTGTGGGGGCTATATAAACTCTAACAGCCACCGGTCTCGCTACTTGTGGTTCTTGTAATGACCCGTTCTGCCTCTAACACACGCTTTTGTGGTTCCAGGAACACCCGCTCTGCCTGAATGCGCGCCATTTCTCTCACGTTTTCTTCCTGTGCCACTACCTTAGCTTCTTACTGCTCTCTAGCTCGCTGGTCTTTCATTTCTTTCTGCACTGCGCTAACCCATGCTAGCAAAGCCTCTCCACGGAGTCCCATCTTCTTTCCTATCTGAACGAGCGCTCTCTTCTCGTCCATCGTCGTCCACCTCACACAAACAACCTGGGGCTCTAAGATGCATGGCTGAGCTTTGTCCTGGCTCGCAGACGCAGGAAAATATTGGAACGACCGGGGTGGTTCCTCACGTTTGCTCGTGCATGGTCAACGAAGCGAACGATATATAAGAACAAGAGAATCGATCAACTATCACAAAGACAAGCACAGAAGTACACACCTAAACTGCCTAAAGTCCGATCGGCTACTGCACAATCTACGTGGGTACATGATGGCTCACAGTCGGTTGAACCAGCGTCCCGAGCAGGTGACATTCCACGCACGGCGATGCCCCTTGTCCATAGTGAGCTCAGGCACGCAGGTGGCGCGTGCGGTCGCAGCAAGAGACAAGGCCTCCATTAGTCCTCACGTTCGTAGACGGCTTTTAACCGTCTAAGGTGGTGGCGGTGACCCGTAACCCGTCGTTCCTGTCGCACGCACTGACGCAGCAGGAGCCGCACCCGGTGTCGGTATCCCCGGACTTCGGTCCCCTGGAAATAGACAGGAAGAGCTCCACGGACAGTGCCCTGGTGAGGCGTGTTCCAGCTGAAGCCACCATCAGGACAACCAGGCGAGCACCAGGTCCTCTATTAGCACGCCACGAAAACCTCCAAGGACAGCGCCCTGGTCCGGCGTGTCCTTCGGCTAGGTCTTGATCCGCTCTCTGCGCGTTTCCTACGCGCTTCTCTTCTTTCTAAAAAATACTAATATTGTGAAGATACGGTGAAGGCGACTTTTACTAGGCCCAGAAGACACGATGAAGCGACCACGCCCAAGGCACACAGCTCAGGCAAGCCAAGTCCCCACAGCAGATAAAGATGACGACCACTCATGATGATAAACATGAGTGAAGAAAGTAGATGTGCTTAATGAATGCCTACACTAACTCCTTCCCGCCCCCACGTGAAAGCGGTCATCCTGACCGCAGCTCTTTGCCACAGTTCAAAGCGAAGAAGAACGTCGGGTAAACGGCCTCATGCAGGATACGTGGACTATTTCTGCTGCCCGGCAGCGGCGGTCCGTTGCAAGAGCGGGTGCCACGTGATGATTGACAGGAGACGTTTGCTACAAGACAGTGTAGGGGCCGATGAAACGTTATTGAAATTTTTCGCACAGGCCAGGAGTGCGAATGGGTGAAAGAAGGAGGACTTCGTCGCCAGGGCTGAAGGACACGGCACGATGAGAGGCATCGTATTGAAGCTTGTGATCCTGTTGCTTGGCTTCAGTGTTGACGCGAGCCAGCTGGCGGCAATGAAGTAGACAAGACACTTATTCTTCACTTGAGTATGAACATAGCTTAACAGACGCAGAGAAGAACGAAACATCGAGGAAAGAAGAGGGAAAGCGACCGTGGACGAGGTGGAACGACCAGTAACCGGTTGTGCGCTGTCAAGAGGTATTATAGGCAAAAGTGACAAATGGCAATTTGGTGTCCCAGTTTCTGTGGTCCGGTTCGATATACATAGCTATCATATCCGACAGTGTGCGATGAAAGCGCTTGAGGCCTTTCGTCTGAGGATGGTAACTGGAGCTTGTTTTGTGTGTAGTGCCGGATGCCTTGAACACTTCTTCGTCGAGTTCTGAAAGAAATACTCTTCCACGATCGCTCATGATTACATGAGGAGCTCCGTGACGAAAGATTATTGCTCAAGGCATGAAGTCAGCCACTTCTGAAGTGGATGCAGATGACATGGGAGCTGTTTCGGCGTAGCGGGTCAAGTGGTCGACAGCTGTAACTATCCATCGATTGCACATGACTTTCATAGGAAGCGGACCATACAGTTCAACGCAAACTATCTCAAATGGTTGCAGAAGACAAGGGAGTGGTTGTAATTGCCCACTTCGAGATGATGTAGGTAGCTTGCGACGTTGAAAAAGGGCGCATGAGGCAACGTACTTCGCGATACAGGTGGACAAGCCCGGCCAGTAGTAGTGACAGAGTGGGCATGGATGCACAACCAAAATGTGGCACTCACAATTCTTGTTCATCATCGCGCAGCTTCTTGGTTTCGTTGGATTTGCCGACTGCACGGACGGCGCCGCGTTCACGGATTCGACTGATGGCGGTTTCGGCAAGGGATCTTCATGCAACGCCCCTGGCTGGTGTATTCATGGCGCAACACCACTCTTGCTGAGGACCGACAGCGATGCTATGTACAATTTCCCATAGTTCGCCTTTCCCCGGAGTGTCACAGCCACAGAAACATCGACTACACGCCTACCGGACCCTTCAAAAGCCCATCAAACGGATCTTTTCGCGAGTGGGCATGG